ACTCGTATTAAATAAGTAATAAATTCAAGACTGATGAATCTATATCAAACTTAAGAAATAACTTACTTAAAATTTCGGAATGTTTGTTTATAAATAAAAAATTTACATGATAAATTAATTTCATAAAGAATCATAGTTAATTTATTTGAAACAAGTATCATTATAATACCCGTTGTTCTTTTATTTTTTCCATAAATAAAATCAAGTGTAATCATAATACCTATGAATAAAAATTAATTAGAAATAATATTCTAATACAACAATTTCAAAATATATACCTGTTGGAGTTTGAAAAATAAGAAACAGTATTGATATCAATAAAACTATTCTTGTTGCTTGATTATATTTTGTTTGACAAGCTCGTGAATGATCTGATTGCATTCTTCTAGCAACTAATTTTATTCGATAAATTATAATTAAACTCATTATCAATGTTAAAAATTCTGGTAATATTGTCCAAATTATTAAATTCATATATCTTAATTTATCATATAATTGTCGTTTTCCATTTTTTTCAGATGATTGATCTTTTGTATCACATGCAAGAATAGAAAAAACACTAAGTTGATCAATACCTTTCAAATCCTTTAAACGATATAAACATAAAGATAGAACAACGATTGCTAAGAAAAGTATCGATATTTTTGCTCTTAGTTGTGTATAGGATGAACGACGTTTTGATGGTCGTACAATGAATATTAAACGTTCAAATGTTAATAAAACAACAATCCATGTTGGAAAAATTAGAAAAAATTCTGTAAATACACCAGTTAAACGACATACCAGATTTAAACGACGAAATCCTTCATCAATTGGATCTATTTTTCGTAACATAGGTAAAGCAAAATTAATATGTAAATTAATTGTATCAACGAGTGATAATATAGATAAATAAATATTTTGAGAATTGCGTTTATTTATTTTAGTAAAACAATATAAAGAATATAAATTAAGTACTGTGCCAATTATAATAAATAGTACAGTTAACGGATAAAATACTTTACTTATGTAACAATCGGCATTTGAAAGAAATACGTAAACTTTAATATTTTTACACGATTCAGCGTTAGGTCCCGAACTATTACTATTACAAAGTTCATTCAGCTGTGGTTCAATAACTGGACACGATTCCAGTATTTTTTCAAAAATACTCATTCTCAATTATTTAATAATCGATATCTAAATAAAAATAAGATCAAAGTTCAGTTAACTTTTAGAACAAACAACAGTTTAGCTACGCTTATAGATACTGTCGCATTGTACGGCAATATTTTTATCTTACCGTCTATTCAACAGTTATAAATCTCTTACAATGATTTGAATACTATATATTTATGTAAAGAATAATAAATAAAAGACAACTATATACGTGATAGTTACAATATATAATGATTTGAAAAGAAAAAAAAGACGTTCTCACACCTAGACTAATAAAGTATTATCTTAATTCTAGCGACGTCAAATAAAAAGAATTTAAAAATGTAGCTATTATAAAGCCAGACAGGTTTTATCTAGGTTATTTTCTATTTAGAATTTTTTTTCTTCGAAGATATAAATAGTTAATTATGATAAAGATTAAAAATAAGAAATAGAACAGGTTTTAGTTTATGAGAAATAACTGAAAAAAATAGAAAAATATGTCAGAACAATTCAATATTAAAACAAGTCTTCTCTTTTCTTCTTATCTGACATTTTATTAACACCATACGCGCTGTCATATGACTACTACATGCTTAGTTCTTCAAGAAACGACAATAAATAATACGTGATCTAAGAGAATTTATTTTTTTTTGCTATATCAAGTTTCTATATGTCAGAGATTGTCATATGTTATTTTTATTATACTTTTATATCAGAGATTTTAGATAAAGCTAGAAGATAATGTTGTGCTGACCTCGATAAAAAAGTAATAATTTTCTTGAAATCAGGAGGGATAGAAAGTACTTACCGTTGTCTATTTTTTCTGTTGTTACTTACAGTTTAATTATCGAAGGACTTGTTCTTTTTCTTTCCTTCTTTGTTCTGTCTTCTACTCTGTTCTGAATATATACAACTGACAGTTTTATGGCATTCAACTAGCAAGAAAAGCTATTGAAAAGAAAAGATATGATTATTTGACATACACCCCATGGTATCTATATGATTAAAAAGGATTCCATCTACTCTTCCAGACTTATATTCATCACAGGAAATATTGCTTCTATTTTAAAAACATAACTAAAAAAATAAGTCGTAATTGACAAGCATCGTACACATGCATACAAATAATCTATGGGAATAATAATTATATTTCATACTTAATATATTACTATATATATGTATATGTATACTCACGATTAATTGTCTTCGATTTATTCTATTCATATGTAAATATTATTAAAACTACTATTTTTAAACGTCTATTTAACTAATGGCAATGTAAATTAGTAAATAGTAAATATTAAATGAATACGTTATCACACAAATGAAATTTTATTTACTTTTTCAAAATAGAATAAGAAAATATGAAATGAAAAACAAGAAAAAGAAAAGTGTGGATATTAACATCTTTTTTTTTCATTTCTTCTTTTTTCCTTTTTTTCCTTTCTTCTTTTTGTATGGCCCAATTGCATTTCTAACAAGCATTCCTCTCCACCATGATTGAATTTTAACTGCAGCAAACATTTGTTGTTGTTCACGTTCTAATTGTCGACGACGACGTTCTTTTTCTGCTCGATCTTCGCGAACAACTTTTTCATAAAGTGTAAACTAAAGCAAAAACAATAGATTTCAATTAACTATCTAGTTATTTCTCTTACATCAGCAGCAATTTTTTGATATGCTGCTAAATCTGATGCACGTGCTGATTTTAGTTTATCTAATTGAGTTTGTAAGGCAGCGGTTTCTTGATTATATTTTTCAAGCCAATCTTCAGTTTTTTGAGTAGTATCCTTTTGAAAAAAATTACAGTTAATATTTTATGTAATACTACAAAAAAAATCGAATACCTTGATATAAACACGCAAGTAATTTTCTGTTTCCGAATTTGATTTCATTTCATCTTCAGAACGATTTTCTAATGACTGGAAAAAGGAAGAAAATTTAGTAATTATCATTCATTTATTCTATATTTACATCTTGTTCACGACGCATATCTTGTTCAGCAATAGAACAACGTGCACGAATTTGTTCAAGATGATTTTCACATTTTTTCTTTTCATAGGTTATTTCAAGTTGTGCTTTAGCTTTTGCTTCTTGCAATTGATCTTTTTGATAAGCTATGACTTCAGCACGTCGTGCTAATTCAGTGATTTTTTCTTGACGGACATTTTGAATACTTTGTGTTAATTCTTTAATACGTTGACGGCTTTCTTCTTCACTAAATAATCAAATATATTTACTTTGATTAAAAAAAAAAAAAAGAACGACGCAAAAGAAAATTAAACTAGAGCAAAACCAACAGCATATTTCCACATGAATACCTTATTATTATTTTATAAATATCTAAAATAATTTATATAAAAATCCTAATGAAAATATCGACCGAAGAACATATTTTGACATGGAAACAACAATGTAAAAACTTATGAATTCACTAATTAATACTTTAGATTTCTTTCACAATGTAGCTCTTGATTATAGTTCATGCAATTGAACTTAATGCTTCCTTCCTTTTCGATTAATTGTCCTTGTCGGTAGACAAAATATAGCATTCAAGACATTAGAATGAGTCGTGACATTTGATCATTAAATCTTATTTTTATATCTATCCGATGTATGCTGAACTGAGTGTTTTTGTTCTTTTTCTCAAAGAAATCTATCTAAGGAAAATACATAAGGATCTAAAGAGAAACGCCCACAACGTCTCAACCAATATCAATTACAAACCTTGAAAGATTGAAATTTATTTTTACTTAATTATACATTATAGCTAATAATATATCTTATACATACGTTCGAACGACATGGAAAAAATGATTTTTTAGTTGTTGTTCTTCTTCTACCATCACTTTGAGTGGTTCAATAGATTTTTGATCATTCAGCGCAAGAATTGATTTTGTTAATAATTTTTCGAAATAATTACTAAAAACAAAAAAATAAATAGAAATATATATTTTTTCTTTTGATTATTTTTCAAGACTCTGTTATACTTACCGATCTTTTTCAACTTTTTTCATATTATCTGCTGTTAATGGATTCTGATTAAACATTCGATTAATTTTGTTAACACCTGTTTTTAAATCATTTGTTGTCTTTTTTAATTCAGCAGTTAATTCTTCCATTAGTTTCTGACTTTCTGCTGCATCTGGCTGTACAGGTTCATCATCTTTTTTATTTTTTTGTAATTGACTTCGTTGTGATATTTGTGCATCATAATCATCTTCAGTTCTATGTTGAGCACTTACTACACGCCCAATTTGTTTTCGTACAATCTATCATAATAATAAATCATATGTTTTGAAAAAAAATATAGCCTTTAGTATTAAAATAACTAACTTCATCCGATGATCCTGTATATTGATAATGTGAAGGCATCAATTTACCGAGAATATGCAATTCTTCAGCTGCATCTTCGAAGACTGCTGCATAATCCAGTGCATCGACTGGTGATAATGTAAACATCTTCCCAGCACAATGTCTTATTTCATCACAGTACAAAATATATTACGATCAAACTTCTGATCATTCTCGTATCGGTTGCTAAGTGATGCCCTTTCTCGCAAATGCATAAGTGTGTTACAATATACAATATAATATCTATTTTTTATGTATTATTCCCAATAATTATATTCATATATAAGAAAATATATTTCTATATTTGTAATGATAATTTTAAAAAAATCGCCATTGATCATTACATAAAACCTCACCAAAGGACAACATATGTTTACGGTGCAGACAAATTTTTTTGTGGTCTTAGAAAAGGATGATTTACACCGATTTTGCACCGTCTTTTCTGTTTGTTTTTTTAACCAATCTTTATTTTTATTCTTATTTTCAGACCACCTAATTGCACAATTATGCAAGGCATCCGATGCGCCTGTCGACGAGCAGGTAGTGTTGCACAAACTGTACTTGGTAAACAACGTCATACCGTTAATACTTCAAAATGGTCAAAATTAGCTTATCAACCAGCCGCTAATTTTCATAGTATGCTTTCTTTAGTTAAATAGTTTTCTTTTAAAATCTATATTATTTATTTATTAATAGTTGTTGGTAAACGAAATGCCGCAGCCCAATCAGCACAACAAAAACAAACAGCTACAAAACAAACACAAACTGGTCAACAAGACAAACAACCAGTTCAAGCTGCTAAAGGTGCTAAAGGTCGTGTTGTATCGGTCATTGGTGCTGTTGTCGATGTACAATTCGATGAACAATTACCACCTATTCTTAATGCACTTCAAGTTGATGGTCGTCAACCAAAATTAATTCT